GCGCGGGCTGCGAGGTGAGCGCGGCCCCGGGGAGCCCCGCCGCGCATCCGGGGCGTGGGCCGGCCTCCCTCCTAACCCTGTGTCTGTCCCGGTGCCTTGAAACGGTGTGAAAGCCGAGCGGGGTGCATCTGGGCGCTGTGCGGGGGAGACGGGTCTTGCTTGCAGGACGTGCGGTGCTTACAACTAACAGCATGTTTGCTGGTGTCGCAAAATCACAAAGCAACGTTTGTACCGTGCTAGTGCTAGCTCCCGCGCGGTTGCTCGTTTCCTCGCCTTGCCCGCGAAGAGTAACGATACAGTTATCCACATTCCTGGGAGGGGTGTGCCCCCAAGTTGTCGCTGATGATGTTCTGGTGATACTGCCTGTGATTGTTTAGGGAAGGAGGAGTTGTTGACCATACCACGAGTGGAATAAAATAATGTCTGTAAAGACAGATATTTAGCCATTTCTAGTTCTAGACATTTTTCACAGTTGCAGAGACAAGGTCATATTGTTTTGAAACCTTGCAAGTATGTCTTTAAAACTCAGGTGTTTTTAGATAACAGTTAATGTTTTGTGCAATGCAAACTAAATAATGAAGTCTCCGCATACCTGCTGGTCAGTGTGAGGAGCTCAGTCACCCAGCTCTGCACAGGGCGAGGGAGGAGTTTTCGAATTTCTCAGGGCCTAGTAAGAGGACGCAGACTTTCCAATAGCAAATGGGATCCTGCTTTACAAAATTTTGTCAGGCACATCCTGGTTAGAGTGTTTGTTTCGTTTGTTTGTTTTTTGGTGGCCCCAAGGGTGGAACCCAGCGGACACTACCACTGAGCTACACCCAGCCCTTTTTATTTTATTTTGAGAGAGTCTCATCTGAGTTGCCTCGGCTGGCCTCCAACTTGTGAATCTGCACCAAGGACAACCCAGTGAATCCCCGTTTTTGAGTTTCCATTCTCAGTTCTTTTGACATTCTCCCTGCCCTTCTCTGTCAGCTTTGAAAATTATGCACAAAACCCATAAAGGTGGTGTCATAGCTGCATAAATAAGATTTCAGTCCCAGTTCTGCTGCTCACTGGCCCTAACACCTTGAGCGTATGCCAGCTGAGGAGCAAGTTACTTAACTTTGCTCTTGTGCTCTCTGAGCCTTAAACTTTGCATCCATTAGAAAAGAGATAATCCTAGGGCTTAGTTATTGATTTGTAGGAAGAATTGAATAAGACATGAAAAATGGGTAGTGTCTTGGTTACTTTCTCAGTACAGAAATGAAATACCTAGGTGCCCTTGGGTTAAAGGAGGAAAGGTTTATTTTAGCTCACAGTTTAGAGAGGTCTCAGTGTGGAGTCGGCTGGCTCCAAGGCAGGGTAGCATGGCAGAGGAGAAACAGTCCATGGCGTGTTAGGCAGAAAAAAGCAGCAAGCAGCTGCCTTCCTTCTTCTCTTTTTATTCCATGCAGGCTGCAAGCCTATTGGTTGGTGCCACTCACACACGGGGTGGATCTTCTGTCGTCAGTAAATCCGTTCAGTCACACCCACAAGTGTACTAATCCAATTAGAGGACTGATCCAGGTATCACAGCTTTAATCCAGCATCACACTCATGATCCAGCCACGGATCTGAGTAACTCTGTGCCACGGTGTGTGAAAGTATATTGGGGCACTTCTTTTACGTTCATGCTTCTACTGGTGAACTTGATTTAGGTCATGATGGAAATCCAAGGATCCTTTTGATATCCCAAGGGAATAAAACACTAATACTTTGTAAGTACATTACAAAACTATGTTAAACAAGCCATCATTTTACGCTGCGTAAAATGTGCTTTTAAAAATATTCCCTCAGTATTCATAGAAGTGTCCCCTAAGTTCATAATGGCCAGTCACATGAGGCTTGTAACTCAGGTTTACCGTTTGACAGCACACTTAATCTTTACTAAACTCAGTGGAATAAAATGATATAAATATGTATTTTTATATGAGGTATATACATTTACTTCTTTTAAGGAAGATTTCCAGGAATAGTTACTAAACTTACAGTCTTGAAACCTCTTGTCCAGGGGCTGGGGATTTAGCTCAGTGGCACAGCGCCTGCCTGGCAAGCGCAAGATCGTGAGTTCGATTCCCGGTACCGGAAAACAAAACAAACAAACAAAAAACAACAAAAAAAAAAACCCTCTTGTCCAGCTGTATCTGGGAGCCTCCAGATTGCCGAGTGCTGACGGTCCCTGAAGCAGCACTGCCTGAGAAGCCACGGAAGCCCAGCTCTTCTCAGCCTGGCCCCGGGCAGCTCTTCATCTGTTTCCCCGATGATATCCTGTTTGATGATTGGTAAACATAAAAAAAAAAAAAAAAAATAGCACCCATCTCAGTGGTCTAATTCTTAGGAGGCCAGACTAAGTAAGTTTTTAATTATAGAAAAATGTTGCATATATTTCATTTTATCAGTTTCTGTCATCAAACTATAGTTGGCATTCTTGTCACTTATTTAAAAAGCAGCATCTATTAAATATTTAGAAATAAACTAGAGTAGTATATCACCGTTTTCCTTGGGCGGAACCCAGCAATGTGAGATAATGAGTGAAGAAGTTGGGGTTTTTGATCCCTCTTGGAATAACAGTGTGGAAATTCTGGATGCACATGCTAGTAGAGCTTAGGACCACAATAGCCAGCCATTTTTTGGAATGTGTAAAGTGGAGGAGCGTGCTTAAGTTTAGAGTGATCAGAAGTTTCCTAGAGATCTTTCTACAGCTGTTCAAACCTCCAGGTCTCTCCTCCTCATTGGTTACAGTGAAGGAGTTGAACTTAATTTCTAGGGTCCCTTCTGGCTCACCATATCCTGGTTGTTGCTTAGTAACACAACTTCCAAATGAACAACAGATAGTCCTTTCCATTGGCTGGACAGTACGTGGGTCTGCTGTCTTAGCAGAAGCAGGATAGTCAAGAAAGGAGAAATGCCTGAGCCCTGCGTCCCTGCACATTAAGAAGCAGATGCATGTTTCCGAGCGGCAGCAGAAGCAGGGCGTCTTGGTGGGGAATGAAGTCATCAGCATGGTGTCCAGGAGGCCTGCAGAGGAGACACCAAGGCAGGAAACCAAGTGACTGACAGCTGGGGAGGAGATGCTGGTGGCCTGGACCGGAGGAAGCAAAGCTAGCTCACGGGTTACAGGCAGTGCTCCAGACATGAAGATGTCCAATGATAAAAGGCAGCAGTCTGTCTATCAAATTGTCTGACTTTCTGAAACTGTGTATTTTATTATTAGTGTGTCAGCTTGCTATTTGTTGTTTTAAACATGGGTGCTGGGCCTTTTGTTGTTTTTGCTGTTGTTCCTAGAAAAATCACAAAGTATAACTTGATTATCCCTTAACCAAAATGCTTGGGGCTTGAAATGTTTTGGAGTTTCTATTTTTCCCAGATTTTGGAGTGTGTGCATATACAGTGAGATGGCTTAGGATGAGACCCAAGTTGACACATGAAACTCTTTTCCTTTCCACGTGCACGTAGTATGAAGAACCTAAACAGTGATTCTGACCGCTTTAGAGACCAAATGCCCAAAACCTAAAACCCGCTTATTTATCTTAATGTGTCAACACTATAATTAAACCTGAATACTGAGGTTTTGTTTAGAAAAAAACAGCTTGTACACCGGGCTGGTGTGCCAACTGAGAGGGTTCTGTGTGCCCTAGGTTCACCACCACTGGCCTGCAGGTATTTTTATACCCTATTTTGAGTGTACCTCCATTTTGACAGCAACCTGTCAACGAGCGGTCAGGTCTGGAACTTTCTACTTGAGGGGTCATGTTGGTGTGCCCAGAGTTTCAGACTTCGGGGCATTTGGATTTCAGATGTTTGAATTAGAAATGCTCAACCTCTATGAGCGGTGTGTTGGTCAGCGTGGGCTAAACCACAAAACAGATACCTTCCTCCCATTCAACGCCCGGCAGAGTAAGGGGTTCGATGCTCACTAACACTTAAGGAGGGTATTCCAGGGTAGCAGCAGCTCTGCTCCTTGTGCTTGTATATGGGGACATCAGCTCCTTCCCTCGCGTAGCTCTCCTGGGGCCCTGTCATCGTATGCAAGGTCAAAGCTGGACCTTGTTCTGGCAGGAGGAAAGTAAGGGAGGATTGCCATTGCTGTTGTCTTAAAGACCCCATCCTGGAAGCGGCTTTCACCCCCGCCATTCATGATCTGTTGGCCAAGTTGTTAATCACATAACGCAAGATACCTGCGGGGAAGTTTGGAAAATGCACTATAGCCGTGCATCCAGGCAGGGAGGCACGGATTTGGATGGCCAGCCTGCAATCGCTGTTACTGTAGTGGTAGGGCTCAAGGAAAATAGTAGACCTACTTTTATTTTTCCCAAAACAATCTGAGTGGACATTGAAATTCGCATGCTGTTTGTATCTGATAGGGGACCTTCAGCACAGTCTAATTCCCCATTTTATCTTTTTTTTAAAATTTATTTTAAAGAGTAAAAGAAGGATAACATAATAATAGGGGGAGCTTACCGAATTACAGACAAAGTGGTAGGAAATTATCAATGGTTATTGTTTTACATATTGTTATCTATAAGATAATTTCTCAGGAAAACAGATAGACAAATAATAGTGAGTTACAGACAAAAGAGGCAGGAGATTGTCAATAGTTGTACTATACTTTGATATCTTCAAAGTGGCTTCTAAAGAAAATAAATAGAGCAACACATGAGTGACCTATTGAATAATCATTAACTATTCTCAATGGTTGTTGTACAAAACACATAATAATAAACATGCATCCATTTACGAAATAGGAACAATACAAACATTACAGAGTTATGGATAGATTAGTAGGAAAATATCAATGGCTGCTGTAATACATGGTGGTATCTTCAAAGTGGTTTCTCAGGAAGACAGATACGCAAGAGGAATCTAACAAGTAGTTACAGCCTAAGGGTTGTCAAAAATAGCAGATTACCTCCTCACCAGTGACTCCTGTCACTGAGTCCCCGTTTTATCTTGGCATTCTCTATCTTGCCTTTTTCCTGCCTTCCTTTTTGATGTCTAAAGAGAAGTATATGCAGGTATTGGAAGGGTCACTGAGACTTTTGAACAGGTGTGAACTTGAGCATCCAACCCACCATTCTGGGTCATAGCTCCTGATAGTCCATTTGTACCAACTCATTAATTTAGTCTTGAGGCTTTAGCAGTCAGTCTGATTTCATCACTAGCAGAGTGTTTTCCTAAACTACAAGTTTTTAGCCAGGGTAGAGAAGCAGTTTGGCCTCTCAGGGGACATGGCCATATCCGAATACAGCTTGGTTTTCACACTCTGTGGTAGGAGGTCACTTATCTTGCCCCAAACCTGTAGGAGTATAGAGTTGGGCTGATCACACGAGAGGCTGAAGGACGCAGAGGTGGAGCGAGTGGGCTGGGGGCTGGGAGACTAGGTCAGGGGAGGGCTGACCAAGATGGGGAGCAGTGCCGAGGGCTGCAGCCGGGCAGGTGAGCTGAAGACAGAAGCTGGCAGAATTGCCAAACCAGCTCCACGGAGGGATAAGAAGAGGGCTCGGTCTGGGACAAACCCAGAGTTCTGGCTTGGGGCTGCTAACCCAAATCAGAAGAACAGGTTTGTAGAAAAAAAGAAAAAATATCTTCATTTTGGTTCTGTGAGTGTGCACCATGTGCAGAGGGGACATTCCTGTGGAGATACCTGTCAGTTCCCCAGGGGAGCTGGCTGAGAACATGGGATTCAGGAGTCGCTGAGTATTCTAGTCAGGTAGCCACTTGAGTATTCCAGAGAAAATGGATCAGTAATAGTGAAAGTCATGTCCTTTTTCTTTCTCTTTTTTTTTTTTTCTTTTTGTGGTGCTGGGAATTGAGCCCAAGACCTTCGCACCGAGCTATATCACCAGCCCTTTTGAACTTGTTTTGTTTTGTTGTGGGTGACAGAGTCTCATTAAGTCACTGAGTTGCCCCCTAGGCTGGGCTCTAATACGTGCTCCTCTTGCCTCAGCCTCCCAGGGAGCTGAGCTGACAGGCATGTGCCACTATGCCTGGCCAAACCGCTTCACTTTCTAGAAGTATTCCGTGCATTGAAATGCCCTACATGTAGTATTTCCAATTCCCAGGACAGCCCACCAGGAGGCACTCCTGCTCGGTTTTGGGGGAGGGAATGGAGAATGGTCGCATTCAGTAAGGTCGCACAGCTCACAGGTGGCTGAGCCCGCAGGGGCCATAGTTTGACTCCAGAGTCCCACATTGCGCCATGTCCTATGGTATCATTACGTCATGCAGAGTTAATGTATTTCAGATGGCACAAGATTAGCTTGACGCAAAAAGCCAACACCGAACCTTTTCACTATGGACCTTCTGATGATGAGTATTTACAGACGAAATGATAGCTGGGGTTAGTTTCAAAGTAATTGGGGAGCAAGGATAGGGTTTAGATGAATCAGAGTTGGCACTGAGTTGATAATTGCCGGAGGTGGGTGATGAATACAGAAGAGTTCGTCACGTCATTCTCTCTTTGTGGTGTTTTCAAATGTTTTCCAAAATGATAAGTTTTTGAAAACATTTGGATAAAACAGTTGGGGAAAGAATATTTGCTTTCAGAGTCAACCATTTATCCTCAAAACATTTGTGTTTGGATTTATCCTTTCCAGAGACCCCTGATATTCATATTTAAGAAATAGCTTGTTCAGGATGCTATTTAAGAAATAATACTGTTCAGTCAATGTGCTTTGCCTTTGGGCTCTGGATTAGCTAAGCACCCTTTTAAACATAAAGGAAGTTGGAGAGTTCTCCAGTGTTCCTCTCATTCCATATTTTCCTGAACGGCTAGAAGCAGTATATGTACTAAACACAAGTAAGTCCTGGACAGTACTCCCACTATGGTAGGACAGCTACGAGAAAAGGCAACCGCTGATTTTGAGCACTGCCGCCATTTTGGACCTGTACTCCACCCACATCCTGTCCGCTGTGCTGAATGTGGGACAGAGCAGCTCTTTTTCCTGTTCGTGGAGAAGCCATCTCTCACCTAAAATGGCATGAAAAATATAAAGGCCATAAACCCCCAGGAAGTAGATTGAATAATTTAGAAAATAAAACTCACAATTACATATAAAATTACAAATAAGGGGGCTTGTTTCTTTTTATTTGAAGTGTCTCATTCAGGGGCAAGAGTTAAGTTGTCATAGCCCTTTGTTTGTTTTTTCTATTTAAAGGCCAAGCGCTACGGTTTGTGAATGTGAACAGTTATGCCTATTCCTTAGTGCCTGGCTGTCCATAACCCATGGGGAAGAATGAAGTCACTGAGCAAGAGGGGAGGGAAGCAGTGTTTCCTAATGGTACAGACCAGCAGTCTCTACTTCCATGTGTATATATTGGGCCTGATCTCCAAAAGAAGTCTCCCCAAAGAAATGATGTGGTTGTGTCCAGGGCTACTGAGCCTAACCCGAGGCTGCCCTGGGTTATTCAAAGCTGTAATTTTCCATGTCATCTACATTTGTAATAATTCTTCAGTATGATAGAATTTCAAGGAACAAACATTCTGCTCACTGCATTTCCTCTGCATGAGTAATTCCCTGACAACTTCCAGATCTTGGCAGGAGCAACCCACTCATAAGTTATGCTCGCTTCCAGCATGGTGAAAACCTACGATGTGTAACACAGAGTCTTTCAATTCAAAGGCTGATTTTCCTAAAGGAAATTTGGGAGAAAGAAGGAAATGAAATACGCAAATTTAGGAGCAGAACTGAATGACTGTTAGAAGACCCAAACAAATGCATGAACACTGATGCTGAAATGATCTCTTCTAAGTGTACGACTCTTTCCCCTTCTCTCTCTCTGGCATGACTGCAGCTTAATGCTGTGTAAGCTTCGGTTGTTGAAGGGCTGAGGTCTGGAGAATGAAGGCATGAGGCCTTTTTGCAGGGCCCAGGCCAGTGTCCATTAGCAGCCAAGCTAATCTAACTGAAGGGACAAAGAAGTTTGTCTTTTTTGGAAAACATGAAGGTTCTTCCAAGGAACCAGCAATGTGGCTTGACCGCACTGTTCATTAACAGGGGTTTGGATGGCCGCCATGTCTGCCTGCTGGCTGAATCCGGAACTGTAACTCTGTCCAGTAGGCTCACATGGGGTTATGTCATCTTCTCTCAGCCAGCCCAGCACTTTATCCGTCTGCTAAAACATAGAACATGGCTGATCTTACTCTTTCCCCAGAGGAAGACAAGCTGAACATGTTGTTGCTTTTAACTTAGAAAGTATACATTAATTGGGATTTTACAAATCAGTTAAACAAAATAGACTTAGTGTAGGCAATCCCTGTGGAGTTCCTTATAGGACAAAGATGAGCACAGAGCAGCTCCTCTGCCGGTGAGATAGGCACTTGATGGATGTTTGCAAATGGCTGTGTCACACCGACCGGAGCTTTTTCATCAGGTAGCTTCTATGACCGTTTACAGTCTAGTCACACCACCGCCTTAACTGGGTTCGGTGGTAGGACAACAGGTCATGTCCTTGCTCACATAGGAAGAGCTATGTGTTATACATGGTGGCTCACTCACCACTTTCAAGGTGTCCTCATTTCCCACCCTCCTGCATTTTTGCTAAGACAGTTACTAAGACACTTTTACTAAGACATTTACTAGTGGTCTTGGGAGTTGAGTGGGTCCTTGTGTTTTGCACTTTTTGCCTGGTGCATTCTGAACTATAAAGTGTTTCTGCTATGCCAGTTTAGCAGTTGCGTTTAGAGTTTACTAAAATACATATCTTCTTATAGAATCATATTTCTAGATGAGAACCTCCCTTATGCCTTCCACTCTTTACTTTGTGGTGTTTTTTCTCTCTTTTGCTATTCATGAGCGTTCTTAAATAAAACAACACCTTTTTCTCCCATTATATTGTAAAGGTCTCTGGGGAACAAGGCTCATGGAAGAAAGCAGCACTAACCGAGAGAAATACCTTAAAAATGTTTTGCGGGAACTGGTCACGTACCTCCTTTTCCTCGTGGTCCTGTGCATCTGTAAGTAAACTGTTTCCTACCACCCGTGGAGACATTTGAAAATGTTTGGCCTGTCATAGTCAGAATTAGAAGGAAGTGTATCAGCACCTGAAGGGGCAAGTCAGCAGTTCTCTTCTTAGTTTCATTTTCAGTGTTGGGCAAAGGTCCTCCCACCACCACCTTGGCACATTCATGGAAAAATCAGTATTATCTGGCCGGCTAGTTCATCATCATTTGTGACTGTGAAAGCACACGGCAACCTGTCAGACACGAAGAACTCAAGTAAAAGGATTTTAGGGTTTCATAGCAATGACTAACCAGACCAGTGAACATAAAAAGTCAGTGTAAGAACTGTTTTCGGTAGCTTGACTTTCCAAGTTTAACTTTCGGAAAACACGAAGTGCCCCCAGCTTTGCTCTTATTAACGTGTCTAAGTCTCCTTCTGGACTTGGATGTGGTGTGTCAGTTAAACTTTTCCAGTTCATTCTTTCTTTCAAATCTTCAATCATCACGGGGCTTTGGCTCTGCAGGAGAGCTGTGCAGACCCAGAGCCTTCTGTGTGTGTGTGTGCACACCCTGGGGGAGGCAGCCACAGCCAGGAGCCAGTCTCAGAGGTGTTTGCCTCCAAGCCCAGGAAGTCGCAGGCCAAGGACTTGGTCTCAGGTTCAGACAGGTTGGAGGATGGGTTTCCCCCGTGTCCTCCCCGGCACCCTCTGTGACAAGAGACCAGAAGGCAGGTTTACGACGCCCGCCCTCCCCTGCTTTCACCAGACTCCTGTGCCATATACAGAGAGAACCAGAATTTAATCAACGCTTCAGTAACGCCATTCTTCATATATTATAGTCGATGGCCTTGAATTTAAGTGCTGAAGGAAGCTTTTAAAATTTACTAGATATATGGAAAAACAGTGATAAGTAGAACGTACAAGATCAAGGAGACATTTGGGTTTCTGTGTTTGTAATTGCAACCAGTTGAATATTGAAAACCCCACACCAGTTTTCACTGCATCAGTGGGCTCCTAATATGCCTTAGCAGGACAAATCTGCTTTTCACACTTCCTAGGATTTTGCCTACCCAAGTGGAAACTTGAGGAAAATGCGTTATTTAAACTAAAATTACGTATGTATAAACAATATCACCTTAGTTTTTCCTTACTAATTTTGAAATTTTCTGTTACTTGTGTAGGAAGAAACGTCTTATACTTTTAAAAATAACTACTTGTTTTAAAAAAATAAAACATGTTTTTTGTCTGTTTTTAAAAATAGCTTTATGGAGGTATAATTTACACATCCTAAAATTAATCTGTTTAAATACCCAATTCACTCTTTTTTAAATGTACAGAGTTGTGCAGCCCTGCAGTTCAATTTTATAGTATTTCAGTCACTCCAAAAAATATCTCCTAAGCCGTGCTCTGTGGTCTGCATCTGGTAGTCAGCCCCCTTTTCCTTCACATGCAGCCGTTGTCCATCCATCTCCTACCTTTCAGCTCACTGCCTTCTGCCGGGGTTTTTGGTGTGCTTTGTGGGGAGTTTGGTTTTTGTATCTTTTGCCTAATAACGCCTCCCTGCATCCCAGCTACTGGCCTGCGCTCCGCTTCTGTGAGTCCAGCTATATTAGGTTTCTCTTGCAAGTGGTATATTTCAAAGCATGTTACATAAGATAGAAATGCTAACAAGCTAGAAATTATCTACGTATTAAAAATTGCTAAGCAAGTGATGTGATACTTTAAACGTTCATACTCTAAACTCTTACAATAATGAGGTTGCATTTGTTCCCCAGTATCATTCCTGCATAGAAATGATAATTACTGATATGACACTGGAGGGCCTGAAATATTAACAGGTTGGTTAGGATTACTAAGCTTTTTAAAGCATTACATATATGTATACATATACATATCTCGTAGGCAAAATAGTTTACCACTATAAGTCTAGCATTTCAGTGGTCCCTAAATTGCCTGAGTATCAGAATTACCAAGAAAATTTTGAAAAATTATAAATTATAATAATTATAAATTGTAGAGTCTGTAAGATGTGGCAAAGAGAATAGGTTTTCAGATGCACCGGTGAGATCAGGAACTAGGCTAGAAAGGTAAAATGAAGACCTAGAACACGCATAGGAAACCTGCCAAAAGTCTCAGTGTTTTAGAATGTTTACACTTTTTTTTTGCACTAATCACATTTTTTCTTCTGTCAGTATCCATATATTTTCTTATATTTCCATATATTTCCAAATGTTTCCATATATTTTCTTGTGTCAGTAGCCATATATATAATTAATTTTTATTTTTAGAATATTGTAGCATCTGTGGTTAAGAAGGGGTCTTAGCAGTCACGTGGTCAAGCCTCAGCTGAATACTATAATCTCCCCACACACCCTTCCAGATGATCGGTTAGTCTTCCTACCTCTGACTGAGCAAGAGTCCTAGCTTTAAAGATGACTTCTTTGAAATGGTTCATTTCGTTTCATTCAAGTTAGATCTTCAAAAGCCAAAATCTATTCCTGGTAGCTTCCCTCCCGCCACCCTCCAAGCCCGCTTACGCCAGATCCTTTTCCACTTCTTTTCCAGTTCAGCCCTGAGGACCTTTGCAGACTGCCAACTCCCTTGTCTCCTGCAGGATAGACCTGTCTCATTCCTGCGGCTGTTGAGCGTGTGTTGCATGCCCGGTCTTGATAGCTGCTGGGTAACTTCCCCCAGCCTGTGTTCTCTTCATCACAGTCCTCAGCGGGGCCACACCAGGGGCCTCCAGCGTCTTCACCCAGACTGCACTGCCTCTCACTGCCTGCCACGCTGGGCAAGGAGGCCGCTCACCACAGCCGCTCCGTGGTGTCTTCACCCAAACCATGACACTCTGTGTCCCCAGCTGTTACCAGAGCGCTTTGCCATGGATCATTTTCAGGGCTTCCCTTTCTGCTGTTAAATTTCACCTCCCTCAGGTCTGCACACCATGCCAGTCTGCGGAAGTGATCCTAGATTCGCTCGTCTCACACGTCACCTCTTGCTCTTGGCCTCATGGGATTAGCAGGCTCACCATCCACATCCTTACCCGTGTTAATTAATAAATTTTAAAAGACTGGCCTAAAAAAGTAAATAAATAAAACTAAAAGACTGACTTAAGAACATCAACCCATTGATGAAAGCCCTTTGGGTGGACCCTTTCTCTTCATTATGTTGTCATACAGCCCAATATTGAAGAAACGCAATAATGGAGAAAGTTTTTCAAATGCCTATCTGAATAACTGCACCGTTCTTCTGCTCCCAGCTGCTGAGTAAACAGCAAGTAAGGTGACCAGGCATGACTCACTCCTAATGGAGCCTGGCTGCTCCTGGTGTTGAGTTCTTTCCTCACTGCTCAGAAACCATCTTTGTAATAATTACTAATTCTAAAATCTTGCCAGAAAAATCACCATCAAATGACCAGGTATATCAAAAGCTTCATTCCCTTTGCAGAACAACCCTGTCCATGTTTGCATGTTGGAAGCTCTTGAGAGCAAGTAGTTAGGGTTCTAGAAGGCAGGTGGATGTACTAGAAAAGGATAGATTTTTGTTTGGTTGGGTTTTTTTTTTTTCATCCAGTAAATCTGAGTTCAAGTCCCAACTCTACTGTTGCTGATGTGCTGGGTAAATGTGGGCATTATATAATCTGAGTGTTTTCTCATCTGTAAAATACTTCTTCTGAAAAATTGATATGATGCTGGATGTGGAGGTGCACACCTGTAATCCCAGCACTTGGGAGGCTGAGGCAGGAGGATCACTGTGAGTTTGAGGCCAGCCTAGGCTACCAAGTGAGCTCAAGGCCAGCCTGAACTGCATAGGGAGACTCTGTCTGAAAAAGAACAAAAAAAAGCATTGATATAAGGATTAGAAATAATACATGAGGAAATCCTGGGTTGCTGTCTGTCATAACAGTAATGAGAAGGAAATCTTCCCCCAAACTGATGACAGTGACTGATGTCTCCTCGGTGGGCCAGGTACTAAGAACTGGCTATCAGCTGTGACCATTTGGGTCCACACTCCGATTCCTTTGGAGTAGCTAAGCACCCATCAGTAGTATCTTTTTCATTTTACCAATGTTAGTTCTGTCTCCTCTGTTTTAAAAATCAGTCCACTTTACCAAGAGGCTAGAAATAACATGTGAACTAGGTAATCCCACTTTCTAATTTCAGATTTCTTATTACTTGAAACTTGAGGTGGCAATGAATTCACCGTCAAAGTGCTTGTTAGTATATGTGGGTTACTGTTATAATAGCAACGGTATGCCTACTGTGTGAGTTAGATGCTAACGTTAAAGTAATGAAGAGTGTTTTATAAGATCTTTTTAAAAAGCAAAAGATGGTGTTTGGTAATCTCTAATTAAAAACAATGTGCTCTTTACTTTCTCCGTGGTCTCCATTCTAAAGTTATTCAAACCTCTTGTGTATTATTATTAATATTATTTCTATTATAAACATAATAGAAATCAAAAAAGTTAGTTGAATCAGCATCATAGGATGTAGTTTTTCTGTAGATCAAAGAAACAGGCAAAATTAAAATGCAGAAAATTTTATAAACAGGTACAAGAAATATCAAAAAGGATTAATATTTTAACACATTTTAAACAGACACCACTGGGAAAAACAGTTCTGTAACTATTTTACAGAATAAAAATTGTAAGTTATTACACAGAATAAGAAACATGACACATTACCGTGGGAAAGTCTTTAAGCCTTCGGATATGCAAAAAAGTAATAAAAATGGAAAAGTAACAAAATCATAATATAGTATGATATGTTCTAGAACAGAGGAGCCCTTGTGGGAAGAAATCTGTGCCTCCACTTCTGTATCTCTGAAAAGAGACTTTACCTTGCATTCCTGAAGAAGAAAAGCATATTTTTATGTCACTTGTAAAAATCTCACAAGGATGCTGATCTAGAAGTAGTTTTCTTGGTTTGCGAACAAGTCCACACAGATCCAAGTGCTGATAACAAGATTCATTGACGTTGGGGGCAGTGGAGTAATTCTGTGTCAGGACAGATACCT